AAAGAACCCCCCTCCCAGAAAAAACAAAAAAACAACAAAACCCCTCACACACTTTCTGGAAAGGCATTTTACGGAATTTATCTCAGTTCAACAGGCAGATTCTCGTTGACCTCTGGGGACTGAAACACGTGAATGACAGCGTCTGAGCTCTTAACAGGTTGTCACACTGCATGCCCCACAGGGGCTGGGTATTAAACTAGAATTAACAGTCTGGTCAAAGAATCGGTTTTATTTGACTTTTGTTAAAATACTTTTTTTCGGCCTGATTACTACTTGTTTTAGTTGAGTACAAACACCAGGTCTGTGTGTTGCGGGCCAGTAGGTTTGAGGTTCGGATTCTACAAGAGTTGAATTTTTTGAAGTTCCTCAGATATCATTCTTCTGTGAGGACATTTCATGTAGGGGGTGGGGCTGAGAGAGAGGGGAGGGGGTGGTATGTTGCACCCTGCTCTATTAGATCGATCTCTCTGCAAAACCGTCCACTGCATGTCCAGTGGCTCTAGGAAAACAGCTCCCAAATGTATGTTCGGCTAATAATTTCTTTCCAGAAGTGAGAATTTATTTCGTTTGAGTAAAGAGGAGCACATCGTCACGATGCCATTTAGTGCAGGGAAAAGGCAAGATAAACAGACAGAAATAACTGAGGGAAAAGAAAGAAGTAGGATATACCAGTGGCACCCTCCAACCACCTAGCTCTGTGAGAACAAAGTTATTCATCAAAACAGGCTACTTTAGTCCGGCTGCAAATGGGTTGTGTAACGTTTTGGACAAAAAATTTGTCTTTATTTTTTTCCCGACATATTTGATACGGGTAGAAAATGGTTGTAGCGCGAGTCAGTAAAAGGCTTTTTTCCCTTGGGGATTCGCAACTGTTCCAGGCTCAGCTCGGTCCAACGTTTTTGGTCACAGGGAAAAGTATCGCTGTAGCCTGTGCGAATAATCTCTTTTGGCTCGATTTTTATCGGAAGTGGAAGTTAAATTTGGAGGCCTCGCCACTTAAATAAACTTACACTAGTGTTGCAAGGACGAAACGCATTCACTTTTGAATATTTTATTTCGCTGATCTTTCGTCGTATGGCAGGTGTGAAACCTTAGTTAACGTCCCTTGTATTTAACAACGTTTTACGACAAGACAGGTTCATTATGTGTGACAGCCTTGGTTCTCCCGAAATTACTCACGTTCAGGGAGGCGCTTTTCGAGAATCAAAACTGGGTCGGCCGCATTGTAAACCACCAAAAAATATACCAGCTGGGCTATTGACGTGCCTTCCAAGTAAGCCTTTCCAGCGCCCCCTCCCTACACAGCCAAATAAAAAACAAAAAACAAACCAAAAGATTTTCTCTTATTTGTTAGCGGAACTTTATAACGTGCCCAAATGCAATATGTATACAGTGATATATGAGTCAATACTGTACGTCCGCTAGGATGGTATTTGCCGGCCGGGTGATAGAGTTACTCCTCCGTCAGGAGCGATTTGAGGGGTGGGGGTGGGGGTGAGCCCGTGGTTACACGGTTATAAATGGACACATTTTTCAGCATTTTACAAGCTAAAACATGTTAGCCAAAAACAAATTACGGTACACAAAATATAAATGCTATTTGATATTGTTACATTTGCATAGGACGCCCAACTAAAAGCACTTGTAGAAGCATATAGGCATATTTGCACATATTTTAAATTAAAACATGTACGTGTATACTTTACAACTTTATCAATTTTAGCACGACTATGTACAATAAAGCAAACAAGATGGGTAGCAGCAAAGTGACGTATGCAACAGAAAATTAAGGTGAAAAGAGATTTAGGGCTTCAGTGGAGAGTTGACGTTGCTTTTAAAAAAAAAAGGGGGGGGGGGGATGATTCCAGAGGTATAATTAATTTGTCTTCAGCAGTCGTCAGGGTAACTAGGTACATTGGACGTTGAAGCCTGCCGGGCACGCCTGGAGGTGAATTCTATTAGTAACACGGGGGGAGGGATTGGGATTTGGGGGGGGGGGGTTGCATTTACCTGCACGCCGGTATTCCTCACGCTAATTACAGTAAGCAGGCCATGGTATGGTACCGATGGCCTCGGTATAACATGCCTTTCAGGGAAGTGAGTGGATCTAAGTTTAGACCTCCGACTTTAACATCAAATGTCAGAGCTTACGTATTACAGATTGAAGTCAGCGGACAGTCCTTAATTAAAACTTGACAAATAGGTCATGTTTTAGAAACCCAAATAGAAACTCGAACAGAGTAACATGCGCGGTTATGCAACTTGATGCAACTCAGCTAACAATGGTAGACACCTCGTCACAGCTGGTACTGCTCAGCGGTCTCTAAATAAAAAAAAACTATAACAACAACCGAAAGCAACACAGATTAAAAGTAGAAATTTTGCTGTCAGTCGAGGAGACCAGCTCTTGGACGAGATGTGTGGTAAAGGGTTACAAAGATAGAGTGTGCATGTAAGGATCCAACACCCTCTTCAACACAGCTATGTTATGTAAGAGGCAGGACCTCCGAATTGTACGTCCATCTGCAATACCACCCAGCCTCTTGGAAACTCCATAAAACAACCAGAGTTCAAGGATGCTCCGTCGCGGATTCGAAGCAAGGCCGACAGCTCCATAGTCTAGCATGATACCTACCGAGTTATGGGAGAGCCATTATAGGCTTCATTTTGCTTCAACACCACATAACAAGGCGTTGTCATCCTTGCTGTGTTTGGGTTCTGAATTCTGTGATGACGAACGCCAGTCGAAACTTGAAAGCGAAAAGTGGTGCTTTAGCGTGTACTAATTTTAGCTAATCATACTCTTAAACGTTGTCAACATTAAAAAAACCAATATAAAACATGAAGCACACCCCCCTCTCTCTCTCTCTCTCTCTCTCTCTCTCTCTCTA